ATGTTGATGTTCAACAGATTACAATTGGATGGCTGGGAGAGGACAAAGAGGAGTGTAAAGTGCTCCCTGCACATTGGGAGTGATGCAAGCAGCAGTGCTGCCCCATCAATACTGTACTTACCTCAGAAGTCATCCTTCCCATACCAACACTGATTGTTTTTGTCAGTTCAGTTTCCAGTATATCAGAAGCATAAAATGTTACCAGAAGTTGTTGCCACCTCCAGTAGCACTCAGTATCTCCAGCTGACCTTGGTCTCAATAATGGCTGCAGAGCAAGTGAATTCAATTAGTCTGATGAGTAGCAGCTCTTACACAGCTTTAGGTACCAGATTTACTATTTTTCCTCCTCTAGCTGAAAGAACTGAACACTGAAAGAGCCAACCTATAGCCAGAAGTCCCCCAAATCTTCTGTTTCTTATGTAACAGTCTTTTAGGGAGAAAGAAAGCTTTAAATGTAAAATCAATTTGTTCTTTCTCTTTTATTTTCAGTCAGTTTTCAGTCCATGTACATAAGGTGATGCATATGCACGTACCTCTCTAGAGAGATCTTTATTCCCAGAACTTTGCAATGAAAATCTGTGAAACCTCTTTCCAATCTTTATCAGGTTTTCAATATATCAGGCAAGGTGAAAAACAATAGTAAGACCAAAAATCATATGCAGATGGTTTGTTCCCCATAGCTCATGTCTTCCAACTTCAGTGGCTGAGTTTTCACATAAATCTAGAGATACATCTGCCAGCTATTTTAAAGCTTCTGCACCATTTTACTTAGGAGACAGAACCAGACATGAGGATTTTTCATGATAGTTCTCGAGCACAAAAAATACACGAACAAGGATTTAAAAACATAGGTACAGAAGGAGGAATGGGAAACATACAGTCATGCCTACCACCTAATAAATTCTTCTAATCACCGTATTTTATTATCTTCAGGGACAGATCTTCAAAGTGCTTTTGTTGCTACAGGAAGTAGAATGCATATGGGCTGCTGCTTTTTTTTTTTTTTTTTAATCAAGAATCCTGAAAGTTGATCTCTTTTGGTAGGAAATGAAGTTGTCTACAGGTTTGTGAAACCTGTGGTTTGATTAGCTTCTAGAGGTTCTTTGAGCTGTTTAATGTATTAAAATTAGGCTGTTTTTAATAGAGTAATTTTTTTTATAAATCTTTCATATTCCACATTAAGTTGTTTTCTAAAGATTCCATATATATATATAGCTGTACTTAAATACATTTGGAATCTTGTATAAAGGACTAATCTAGAATTTTTGGCAAAGTCTCTGTTCAGGTGGAAAATGCCAGAGATGATTTTGTGTTGAACAACCTAAATAAATACCAGTGAAATCTCTATCTCATAATGTACCATTATGTATTTTGCTCTGAACTTATTTATAGGAACTATCTCAGAATTTGGCAAAATTTCTGGGTTTTTAAAATTATGTTGTTTTTCATATGCCTCCAGTCTCCCACATGCAGAGTCGTTTTTCCTTCGTTCTTGAGCCCAACTGTTCTGTGAAACTGCTGCCTTCTTACTCAGGAGATTGGCTTCCTGTGTGTGCTTACAGGGAAAAAGATGATGATCTTGAAAGTTGTGCAGAACCACAAATCTGGGGGCTGGAGGGTTTGAGATATACTCTTTTCTACCTGGAAGTTCTGAAGCAGGATCTTTCCAACTCATAAGACTTTTATGCGTTAATGAGACAGGAATTTCCACAGCTGAAGTGAATGAGATCTAAATCTGTCCTAGAATAAGCAGTTTTGATATATTCTTATGGCTTTAATTCTGAGATGTTTTCCTTCTAACTAAGTTTTCCTATAGACTTAAGACACTACAACATCACAAAGTCTCTTACGTTTTCATTACAGAAAAGCATAATAAGCCCAGTAGAGATTGATGTCCCATATTTCCTGTTATAAGAACCTGTTTTGTCTGTAAGCATATTAAAGTTAAATCTCTGGACTCAAATTTTCTAGATGTCTACTAGGAATTTTTTTTTTTTTTTTTTTTGGTGAAAGTTTCAGCTAATGTAGCTCAACTATTTTTAAGGATGAAATAATGTGAAAAGACAGTCTTGCATTCATATTGATTTTAATTACATTTGCCATGTCATCTCTACAAAGTTCAATTGAGGTTATGTTTGGCCTGGTTTGTAATACATTGAAGCTATGAGCAGGCAGAGAATTTCTCCTCTTGTATCTACTCTGCTGCAAAAGAAGTTAGTGTTCCTTCACTCTCAATGTAGGAGCCTATGGAAGGAGATTGGAGGAGCACAAGAGGAGTAGTAGTCAGGTAAAAAGATAATCAGGGACTAGGATTAAGGGCAGAATGGGAGCAGATACCAGGGAGACAGGACTGTTGGGGACTTAGTATTTCTTTCTCTTCACAGGTATTTCTGCAAACCAAACAGCAGCTTTCTAATAGTATGAGTTTATTCCTCTATGTTAAACAATGGTGAATTATACTGAGTATCTAAATTTTCCTGGTTTGCTTTTGTGGAAGGATGAAAAGTGAGCTTAATTCCATGGCAGGCAACAATAAAATCAGTTTTACAGGAGGAATGAGTGTCTGCTACTGCCGTCACTTAATGTTGACACAGCAAAAGCTCCAAAACCTGAGCACATTAGAAGACCAGGTTGTTGCCCTATTAGACTAGGAACAATGAGGCAACATGAGGCTTTCCTGAGTTTTAAATATTTGATTTTGTAATCTTGACATACCTTTAAAAAGTACATTAAATTATTTATAAGGAAAAAATAGCAAAGAATTAATAAAATAATACTTTCTTTACTAGGCAGCAACTGTGTGCAAATAGACAGGATTTTTCCTGTGCCTGCTAGTTTAATTGAGTTTTAAACATTGAAATATTTGAAGCTGGATGCCAAGGTTACTGACACCAGTAAACAATGATGAGTACACCATGATTGTGTGTAAATATCATGCAGTGATGAAAGGTGAAATCTGAAAAACAGCGAAGTGAAATGAAAGCAATAGCTGTAAACAAAAGAGCTGCATTTATTAAAATCAATGAAAATGTATAGCCTTTGTTTTGGACTGGATTCTCAGCTTCCTTAAATCCATTTATGCTAGCTATTTCCAGTAGCTGGAGAATCCAACCCAAAATGGAAGGCTTTTTTCACAAGTTCTTCCTCTAAGTTTACAGCCTCCTTTAGGTTATTTAAAAGAGAAAGGCAGAAAGGGGAAATTATATTTTGTATGTGTTTACCAGGGACATGAAGGGGATATTAAACCCCACCTCATCACTATCGCTGTTTACACAGTCTGTGCTGCATGCACTCTCACCGTGTGATCTGCTTAAACCAGCATGATTGCACAGCTTCTCCCTTTAGAGCAGGTCTCTGCCTGCCCTGTTCTGAACGCTGTATGAAGATTCTTTCAGGGTATGATTTGCAGACTCCTAGTCTTAAATCATACCATTTACTGTGAAATATACTTTAAATATAGTAGCTTTGCTAGGTTTCCGTGATTGCCTTAAAACAACATCTTCTAGATTTTTCAGGGTACTCTGCAGAGCGGCATTTGAGAGTCCTCAAGAGTACCCCTGTAAACTCATCAGTCCATCTGAAAAGAGTGAAGATTTAGCAGCTGAATATGGTGGAGTGTTGCATATTCCAGTGTGCTTTTTGAAAGAAATTCATGCTGCTTTGGGGCAGGAGATTTGATATTCAGAAAGAATTTATATCCTTTATTAGAGCCCTGACTCAGCAAAGTATTTAAGCATGTTCTATTATGCCCCTATTAGCTTTTCATTTTGCTGCTTCTTAAGAGCTGTAGTGAGTCAGAAGCAGCAAGCCAAATGGAAAGGGAGAGATGTTTTCATGGGCTTGCTCACATAAAACCTATTTCATCAGTAATTAAATAAGTACGAATAATAAGAATTTTTGCTTCTGGCAAATTAGTGTCATGAGACTCTGGACTAAGAAATCAGTACAGGTCATCTGTTTTTTACAGGTTTTGTTTTCAACTCTAATAGTTAGAAATTTTAAAAAAATAAAATATATATTAAAAAACAAAACAAAACAAAACAACAAACCCTGGGTTTTTATCTGAAATTAAGAGGTCAGAAAAGGAGTCCAAGATTTCCAACCTACTTTAAACTATTCTGAGCTGATCCCTGGCTGGAATTCCCCTCTTGGGCTACTGCTTTGCCTCCTATGATTCCAAATAGAAACTACCAGCTCATCAAGTATATCTTAACCTTCAAATGCTGAACTTACTCTAGGTGATGTCAGACTCCTTGAATGTAGGAATTATATTATCCTATTTCTATAGCTATAGGTCCTCTCCTACTGCTAGAAATTACTAAGAAGAAATGCTTGAATTGTGGAGGCGTATTTTACGAACTTTTGTGAGCAATTATTTTATGTATTATTTGAACAGATGGTCTTTTTCAGCTATTTGCATGTTAGGAATTATTTGACCTGCCCACAAGCAGGGAGATAAGAGCAGTGACAAGTAAAGTTAGGATTGCACTGGTGCAGTTAAATTTAGGGGGATGGGGGGACTATATAGGGTCTGTTGATATCACTCACTTTCTTCATCATTTTATTAACAAGGAACTAAATAATTTTATTCTCATCCACTCTGTGTTAATTTTTTTTCAGTCTAGAGATAAATGAACATCATGTATACTGAGTGAGGTAGGAGGTGAATGGAAAATTTTAGAGCTTCTGAATATTTCTGTAGTCGTGTCCTTGGTTCCAGTCAAATGAAAGAAGGTTCACATCTGGCATTTGGCTTGAGTGAGAGCTGCAATTTCTCCACTGGCAGTGCTGCCAGCAGTATAGTAATTGTCCATGGGTTTGAGCACCTTCCACCATATTTTGTCAACGTGAAAATGAATGCAATCATCAGTAATTTATTACTCTTGTCAGATGCTATAAGTTAAGCAAAGTATTTTCTTTTAGATGCAACAGAAGGGCTTTTTTCAGGCTATTGAAGGCATCTGTTATTTTTTCATTACACCTTTTTTTCCAATTTTTAGGGAAGCAACGTGATGGAGGACCAGGATCTCTTGGAAATAGGAATCCTTAACTCTGGGCACAGACAGAGAATACTCCAAGCAATCCAGCTTCTCCCAAAGGTATAATTTATGTTATTATACAAGCGAGGGAACTAACTTAACATTATTTAAAACCTTTTTTTGAATGAAGATAAACATAACTCTCTACTGGGTTTGTAGACATATTTTTTGCATGTGCAACCGTGGCATAAAATAATGTCATTACATTGGACTCCCTTTGTATAGATATAGTTGACAAAGCAAAGGACAGTAAAATCTGTAATTTGAAGTGATGATATTTCAGATTTATTTTAATTATTTTTGGTTTTACAGCCTATTGATAGACTATCATTACATATGTGTAAATAAGGCTGTTCATGAATCCTTGACTGTTTGTCTCGTACATAGCAGTTACCCTGGAAATATTTTACCCCTTATATAAGTATTCTTAAAAACATTGGATGAAATATTGTTTCCTAATACCTGTCTTTCACGTTAGATGCAGAGATTTCCTTCAGGTTTCATATTTGATTTGTTGCAATGTATATGAATTTTGCTTCTCAGCTGCGGACAGAAAAACTTGCAATCATTTCTCCGATCATTTTTTGTACTAGCCAATTTAAACTGTAGATTTTAAAATCAACAATAGAAAGAGATTGCTCTTACATTCTGCATACCAGAATATATCAGTGGAGGCTTCTACTGTCATTCCAAACAAGAGATATAGTGGACCTAGCATAAAATACCACCATTTTAATTAGGAAAACTGTATAAGGAGAATGAATGAAGACGAGTAGCAGACACCAGTAAGGCTCAGAAGGCTGCCACATGTGATGTGGATACTTCACGCAAAATGCTAGAGCCAGAATAAAAACAATTCTAAAGTACACTGAGCGTTCTGGTAGCATCATGTGTAAAATAATTCAGATAAATAAAGATTAGTCCACTTGCAGCTTCATAAGGCTGGAGAATGAGAAGAGTTATTAAAGGACTTTTGAGTCTAGAGCATGAAGCTGACATTGCTGGAAGAGGTTTTCTGATGCATCAAGGCTGACTGGATGGATGACTTGTAAAAGAGAACAAGGGGGGGTTTTGTATGGTAAAACCAGAACTTGCTAAGCAATTTCTGTATCTGAAGGTGCTAGTCAGTCCATGTATACTACAAGATGAGTCTATGCACTGAAGCACCAAAGATCATTAAAGATAATAATTTTCCACATACCATATTAGACAAATGAGATAAAGGGTACAAGTAATAGGGGGGTGAATAAAAGTAACTGGATGAATTACAATAGACATTAAAGGTTTAACTGTGATTTTTTTAATTTTTCAGCAGTGCTGTCATTCAAACAAAATTTTTGTAATCTTAATCCAAGCTTGTGGCCGATTATATATTTATTCTGTTTTTCATACTTCTTGGAGAGATCAACTATCATATATTCTTGTTTACATTTTTCAAAATTAATGAATAGATTATGAATATATCATCATCTTAGTTCTATCTACACTCAGTGGCTGGTGGTTATGAAAATATTGTTAATATTGTCTGCTTTTGGAGATTTTACTAATACTGAGACCAGATTTTGTTATAAAACTACAACCAAGGTATTTTTAAAATTTTCTTAATGTGAGAAAGGTCATAATCAAGATCTAGATGTACTCTTGAAACCAGTTTAGAACAAGATGGCTATGTAGTTACTTGGAATAATTCCGGATGGCTTGAAGCATGGGCTGAATAATGGTGGGGTAGTTTTCGGCATCTGCCCTGTTGAGCTAAAAAACACCAGTCCTTAAGGACCATGTTTTTAACATGTCTTTGATGCAAGAATGTTGCACCAAAACAAAGGCAGTCAAAAGCCGAAGTTGTGCGTCACATTTCTTTACTTAAATGACTCAGCAATGTGAAAGAGCTTACATAGCAAAAAGACATCATTTCTTGTACAGAAGTGAGTTCTTTTGAAGGCACAACTGTCAGAATAGTTATTGTAAAGTAAGATACACAGGTATCCCCAGAAATGCCAAGGCAGTGGAAAGAATTCAGAAAGTTTGTTTAGAAGGCCAGAAACTTACAAAATACCTGACGGTGCAGTTCACACGCTGGGCCCCAGGGAGAAAAAGGTGAGTTACCACCTTCTTAGGGCCTCTTCATCCTCTGTGTTTCTCCCCCGCCTTCCCAAGGCCTCTGTTCATGTCTGTTAGGGCTGTTTCTCTCCAGCATAGGAGAGACAGAGGTAACAGCTCTCTGCCATCCCCTCTGGACTGCAGAAGGCAAAAAAAAATCTAACCCTCTCGAGAAGGCACTTTGCAGGCTTTCTAAACAAAATCAAGAATGTCTAGCTTTTCTGTTACAAATTCTTCTGAAAGCAAATACCCTTACAGTTATGGAGCCCAAAAGTTGGGATCATGGGAAGTTTTATCTAATGTAACTCACCCTTTCTGTATTCACAACAATTTGCTAAAGGAATAAAACACTTTCACATCCTGCAGTGAACTGTGGAACATTTCTGTATATTTATTTGTTTGTTGTTAAATTCAGCTCTGTCATCATGCATTCACAATAGTGTATACCATCTAAATACTTTAAGACCTCAAACGATAATTAGAGTCTCACTAATTTGAATCTCATTAGATAAAAATTCTTTTAGTTTGTTTGTTTTGAACATTTACCTCTTTTTTGTTCCTCATTTAATTTAAAACTTGATGACTCCTTGTTTTTTACTACTTAATAACTATGCTGATGATGTTATTTTTAGTTTTACTATTAATGTTTCTTGTCTTCAGATACTTTGTAGCTCAGATTTTGATGTGGAAGTTAAATGCTTTAAAAACATCTATGGAACAACACTTCCTTAAAGCCATATACTCAGGCAGCATTGAATAAGCTTAGAGGGTAAAAGTCAAGCAACAAATCTATTTTTAAAGCTCTTTTTGTTAGTCTGATCAATATTCAATTCTGCAGCCTGGAAATGCAACAGGCATTTAGTGGCTGGGAGGAAAGGCTGTCTTCTTTACTCATAATTGCTTCCTTCCTAAAGAGTAATGAATTTCTATATGTCAAATACCAGTATCCTCATTAGGAACCATGCTCCAAAGCTTGAAGTAGTTTTGAATAGGGAAAAAACACCCACGTATTTGTCTGAATATAGATAATTAATCATTGTAGTTTCTTATGCACTATTTAACTGGTATAAAAAGGTATGTTTACCTGGATTTCTCAAAATATTTTCCCGTGATGATTTTGTATTTCGGGAGGACATTTCATAAGAGGGTAAACTGATATGTTCACCAGTAGGTAGACAGAGTTGAAATCTTTCAGTTAGAATTATTCTTTTCTAAATATCCTTTATTTTTGTTGGATTAGAGCTTGTAGCCCAAATTCTTCTCTCGTACCAATATAATTTAGGTTATTCAAGTTTCACATTAATATTTACTAGAGCACTTTATGACTTATTATTATTAGATAAGGTTAAGACAGTCTGTTAGAAATATAATTTGTAAAGTTAATTCTTGAAGTGGAAATATTTTATACATGACATCAGTCTTAGAGCAAATTTCATAGCAGAGTTTAATATTTCATTTAAGATTTTTTTGTGTGTGAAAAAAATGAAATCAGTAAATGTTTGAAGAAGGATTTTATATGTTTTGTTAAAATGAGAAAGGATTTGTGTGCAATGTGTGCCTAATTGACTAAGAAAATAATAGCAGTCATGACATAAAATTTTAGTCACATTTAAGTTCCACAGGAAACTTATGGAGCATTGTCAAGTTATTTCAGCATCCCAAATGTATGTGTAAGTGACTTCTCAGTGGGTTCCTCAAAAACTAATTTTTTTTTAAATAACAATTATCCTAGCTTATCTCAGAACTTTTCAAAGAACAAGGATTGGTTTTGTGTGGGATGCTCAGTGTATGGCTCCTTCTCCCAGCACATAATGGGAACACATTCTCTCATTTGACAGATGGAAGAAAGATGTTAGCTGAGAGCAGCTTTCTTCTGGCTTCAGAGCTATTCTTAAAGCAGCTTGTTCCTTCCTGCACAGAGAGGTCTCAGCACAAAGCAAGTTTGGGAATAGCAGTGGTGTGCAGGCAGCCAGCCTCTTTCTTGGGTGCTTTGCAGAATTAGATAAGAAGTAGGATTTGATCAGGCTATGAGTACTTGCTGTCTGTGAGTGGTGTTATATGAATGGTAAAGCTGTGCTTCCAAAAAGTGCTGGACTTATTACTCATATTTAACACTTTTCTGTGCAAGCACAGTAAGTCTGCCATTTAGGAAAACAGAACTACTGTGCATATGCTCGTTAACTGTGCTGTGTATGTAACAGAGAAAGACCACATCATGTGTTTGCTGTTGCTATATTGCTATTCACTTAGACACCCCAGAGCTCAGTAAGCTGATTTCAATCCTGATGTTTAATTATCTCCCATTTTAGCACTTCCATTCCCAAAGACAGTTTCCAAACTAGGAGGTGCTGCAAAATGATGTCATAATGTTTATGACCCTTTCTGACTGTGACTCCTTGCTTCTGGTCTGCTGGAAGTGAAGGTGAAAAACAGGGGTCAAAGGAAGTGCTTTGTACCCTGCTGTTTTCCCTCCTACTTGTGCCTCTGGGAATTACTTTCCTGGTTTGAAAGGAGGCCACGCACATGCTTATTACACTACTTGCAAGACCTTTAACCATAAGGACAGAAAAAAAGTGTCAGAATGCAGCATAACACATGAATTTTTCAACTCTGAAATACAAATGTGTAGTTTAAATTATTTAAGTAATGCAGCACAATAGGAGTGGATGGGTAACACGAAGCAGTTAGATGTATGCATGCTAGAGTTCAAGGTGTTTACTTCAGATTAGCTTTAGATTGGTCCCATAGACCAAATATCTCCTCTGGGCACGTGCTTCAAAACTGCCTGATGAAAGCAGTTTCACAAACATTTTCCTTCTTAGCTGAGCCTATCAGTGAGCCACTCTAGACATGACATGCTGTCATTTATCTGTATCATGTAGATAACAGTAGCATGCTCCTGGTCCTGCCACCATTGCCCATACATACATCTCACTTATCATCCTGCTTCTTTTATACTT